TGTGCTGATGCTGCTGGACAGTGTGCTGACAATGTGCTGACAGTGTGCTGACAATATGCTGACAGTGTGCTGACAATGTGCTGAACAAGTGCTGACATGTGCTGCACATGTGCTGACAATGTGCTGACAATGTGCTGACAATGTGCTGACAATGTGCTGACAGTGTGCTGACAGTGTGCTGACAATGTGCTGACAATTGCCTGACAGTGTCTGACCAGTGTGCTGACAGTGTACTGACAATGTGCAATGTGCCTGACAGCATTTCGTGGCTTTACAAATGCCAGTGTTCAAAAATTAACTGCTTTTGTGTCCAGCCGTCAAAATAATGGGTTCCTCCCTTAACGTTAAGTCTTATTTCTAAACAAAATTTCCATTCAAAGCAAAACATTACAGCTTTTTAATATCATATATCCTAATCTTATATATATATATATGTATATATATATATATATATATATATATATATATAATATATATATATAATATATATATATATAGTAGTATATAATATTACTATACTTATAATATATATAGCTACTACATATGTCATTATATATTATTTATTATATAGTATATATATACTACTTCTAATATAAGTATATATATATCATAGTATAGCTAGTTAGTATTACCCTTACTAAATGACGTAGTATATATAATGCATAATACTATATTATATAGTTATATATATTCTACTATATATATATATATATATATACATATATATTGATGATACATACTCTCACTCACTCACTCACACTCACTAGAGTGAATAGCATACTATATATGTTAGTCATACTATATACTCAATAGTGAACTATAGTATATCATATATATCATACTTCTATATATCTACTATATGATATATATTTTTTATTTATACTATAATTAGCCGTATATATATGCTAATATACTATTATTATACCTCCTATATACCTATACTGATATAATATATTATGTATATATATATATATAATTGTATGATATAATAATAATATAGTAGTACTGTATGTCACTATATTGATAGCATATATATATATATTATATATTATATATAGTAATATATATATATAGATATATATATATGATATATATATATATATATCATATATATCATATATATATATTATATATATATATATATAAATATTATATATATACTGTATATAGTATATATAATAGATATATATATTATATATATATATTATATATAGTTATATATATATAGTATATATATAGTCATACAGTACATATATGAGTACTTAATTGTTTACATACTGAAATAGAACACACTAAATCATCTAGATATATACCACTGTAGTCATCCATCCGGTGGTGAGAATATATCATCTATCACGGAAGTAGATTGTCGTTTGTGCGAACAGAATCAATGAATATCAATAAGATATAAACGGCAATATCATCTTTAGCGTTTAAAAAATTATAGATTCGCAAAGAACACTATAACGACACACACCTGATCACACATGTATATGTCATATATAGTAATATATAGTATATATAGTATATATTATATAATATATTAAATATATATATATATATATATATATATATAAATATTATAGTATGATATATATATATACAATACATATGTATAGTAATGTAGTATATATGTATACTACTAAGCATATCACACATACATACATTACTTATAGTCTATAGATAAACATACCATACATAATATATACATATATGTAGTGCATGTCATAGTATACTATATACTATGAGTATCATAGTAATCTATAGTATATAGATATATATTAGTATATAGGTAGTATATAATACATATAGCTATGTATATAGCGATAGTATATATATATATAGGTTATAGATTATATATATATTTATAGATATATATATATCATATATATATATCAATATAATATATATATATAGATGAATATATTATAGTACTATATATATATCGTGTGTGTGTGTGTGTGTGCGTGTGTGTGTGTGATGTGGTGTGTAATGTGTGTGGTGTGTTGTGTGAGTGTGTGTGTGTATGATGCGTGTGTGTGTGGTGTGGTGTGTGTGTGTTTATGGTGTGGTGTGTATGGTGTGATTATAACATATATACAATATATCTATGTAAATCCATCAAACCGTAGTGTCTAACCTATCGTAGTCTATCATGTATGTAAATACATGAGCACCTATTATCTATAAGAACTATTACAGAAGAAGGCGAAGAGAAGAAAAAGGAAACCCGAAAACAGTCCAACTCAGAAGAAAAGGAAATGAAAGAGACAGAAGTTATCTTTCTGACTTTCTCCGCGTGATGACCTTACACGATTGCTTCTTTTTCGGTTTGTCTAAGAAAGCAAGGCCACTCCCTTCGAGAATAGTCTGAACGAGAAAAGAGCAAGAGAGAGAGAGAGAAAGAGGAGGAGTAAGAGACGAGAGAGGAGAGAAAGAGAGAGACGAGAGAGAGAGAGAAAGAGAGATGAGCAGACGAGAGAGAGAAAGAGAGAGAGAGGTAGGAGAGAAGAGTAGAGAGAAGGAAGAGATGAGAGAGAGAGAGAGAGAGAGAGAGAGAGAGAGAGATCGAGAGAGGGAGAGACGGAGAAAAAAGAGAGAGGACGAGAGAGGAGAGAGAGGGACTAGATCAGATAGACTAGAATAGAGAGGAGAGAGAGAGACGGGCCACTCCTTGAGAAGTTCTGAAAGAGAAAGAGAAAGAGAAAGAGAGAAGAGAGAGAGAGAGAGAGAAGAGAGAGAGAGAGAGAGAGAGAGAGAGAGAGAGAGGAGAGAGAGAGAGAGAGAGGAGAGAGAGAGAGAGAGAGAGAGAGAGAGAGAGAGAGGAGAGAGAAGAGACAGAAGAGGAGAGAGAGAGAAAGAGAAGAGAAGAGAGAGAAAGAGAAAGAGAAAGAAGAAAGGAGAAAAGAGAAAGAGGAAAGGAGAGAGAGAGAGAGAGAGAAAGTCAGAGAGAGAGAGAGAGTTAGAAGAGAGAGAGAGGAGAGAGAAGAGCAGATCAGGAGTACGATAGATTAGATAAGACGAGGAGTAATAGAGAGAGAGGAGCGGGCCAGCTTGCTGCTTGAGGAGGATCGTCCTGACGAAGAAGAAAGAGAAAGAGAAAGAAGAGACAGAGAGAGAATGAGAGAAGAGAAGAGAAGAGAGAGAGAAGAGAGAGTAGAAGAGGGAAGGAGAGAGAGAGAGAAGAGGAGAGAGAGAGAGAGAGACGCGAGAAGGGGAGAGAAGCAGAGAGTCGAGAGAGAGAGACGAGAGATATGAGAGGCCGCCATTCCTTGTGTAGAGAGTGTCTGAAAGAGTAAAGAGTACAATGGAGGGAGAGTCGTGGAGAGGAAAGAGAAAGAGAAGAGATGAAGGAGAATAAAGATAAGTAGAGAAGAGAGAGAGAGAGAGAGAGAGAGAGAGAGAGAGAGAGAGAGAGACGAGCAGAGCAGGTAGAGAGAGAAGAGAGAAGAGAGAGAGAGAGGACGAAGAGAGAGAGAGAGAGGCCCACTCAACTGAGAGAGGTCTGAATAAGGAGATAAGAGAAAGAGAAAGAAAAGAGAGAGAGAGAGAGAGAGAGAGGAGAGAGAGAGAGAGAGAGAGAGGAGAGAGAGAGAGAGAGAGGGAGAGAGAGAGGAGGAGAGAGAGAGAGAGAGAGAAGAGGAGAGAGAGGCACCACCTGCTCTTGAGAGAGGTTCTGACACAGAACGAAAGAGAAGAGAGAAGACAGAGGAGAAGCACAGAGAGAGAGAGAGAGAGAGAGAGAGAGCAAGAGAGAGAGAGAGAGGACGAGCAGGGAGCAGAGCAGAGAGGCAGAGGAGAGTAAAGAGAGAGAGAGAGGATGACAGAGAGACACGGAGGCCCACTCCTGAGAGAGAGTCTGAAACGTCCTTTTGTAGAAATGTTTCGAAAAAATTGCAGATGATCGTGGCCCCATTTCAACGTCTAGAATGCTTTTCAATCGTAAGATACAGTGTATATGAGAGGTATGAGTGAAATTTATGTTTCCACTAATACAGCAATATGGTTTATATGATATATGATAGAAAAGGTTAATGACGTGAGGGAAATTTTAATGTTTTCAGCTATAACAGAGATATATATTTAACCGGGGTTCGAATATTCATACTCTTTTCGTACATTTGTCGCTATGCGAACGGTTATGTTGTTAATTAATAGCCTTCTGCGGTGTATACCGCTTGTGCGATTCGGAGGATCTGGTTATAAACAAGGAGCCTAAACATTAATAGAAATTACTCAGCATACCAAAGACCGTTTCTCTACGAAAACAAGTTAAGCCTTGTCTTAGCGGCGGAGGGTCGAATTGGGGGTTTTTTAGACACAAGAATAAATAATTACGGCGCCCAAGGGTTTTCATTCGTGCACATGAAGGACGAAGTTAGGTTATTACAAAATACAGTTTCCATTCCTTCGGCTGCACATTCAAACCCTTAGAAGTCATCGTCTTTCAGCCACAGATTAACAAGTCATTTTCTTGCTGATGCCCCACGTCAGTCGACCCACAATGAGGATCAACTTTCTCTCCCTGAGCTNAGAAGAAGAGAGACAGAGAGAGAAGACAGAGAGAGAGAGAGAGAGAGAGAGAGGAGAGAGAGAGAGAGAGATGAGAGAGAGAGAGACGAGGGAGAGAGAGAGGGAAGAGAGAGAGAGAGAAGAGAGAGGAGAGAAGGAGAGAGGAGAGAGAGAGAGAGAAGAGAGAGAGAGAGAGAGAGAGAGAGAGAGAGAGAGAGAGAGGAGCACGAAAAAAGAAAAAAAAAACAACATAAATCAGACAAATAAAAAGAGAGAAAAAAAACATAGATGAGAGACAGACAGACAGAAGAGAGAGAGAGAGAGAGAGAAAACCATAGATGAGAAGCCAGAGCCAAAGAGAAGAGAGAGCGAGAGGCAGCGCCGAGGAGAGCCGTAAAGGGAAAGAGGCGAGCGGGAAAGGCTGGCGAGCGGGCGAGAGCGAGCGGGCGAGAGCGAGCGAGCGCGCGAGGGGTTCCGGCGGCAGGGCG